CGGGTCTATCTTAACCCCATTCAAGCCTCAGCCGAACACTTAGCCAAGCTGCTGCTGCTGCTGCTGTTGTTGTTAGAGACGAGGAGTTCGATTGGCACCACCAGCACCACGGTCGACTCGGCCTCAGCTGAGTCTCTGGAATAGCGGTGTCGTGTGTAGTCAAAGCATTGCCCACTACGGGAGAGACAAAGGCGGCCGGGAGTCGGCCGTGGTTGTCATAGGTGCTGCTACTCGCTAACAGCACTTGCCCCGACAGCCCGTTTCAAGGCTACACGGGGGATCTTTGTCTGTGTACATAGTTCTGTGTATATGTTTGTCAATTCTGGCTGATGGCCATAGCGTCACCATCATCATCACAATCATCACAATCATCATCACCATCATCATCACCATCATCACTACCACCATCATCATCATCACTACCACCATCATCATCACTATCACCATCATCACTACCACCATCATCACTACCACCATCATCACTACCACCATCATCATCGCTATCATCATCACCATCATCACTACCACCATCATCACTACCACCATCATCATCACTACCACCATCATCATCACTACCACCATCATCATCACAATGATCATCACTGCAATCATCACTATCATCAGCATCATCATCACCATCACCACTATCATCAGCATCACCACCTCATCACTACCACCATCATCACTACCACCATCATCACTACTACCATCATCATCATCACTACCACCATCATCATCACTACCACCATCACCATCATCATGGGGCAGCTGCGGCACGTGGTGTGTGTAGCCCATTTCGCGTCTCGCCTCTAGGTCGACTTGACCTTAAAAAAACCCGCAAATATCTTGTTGAGTTGAGTGGGTGGGTGGTGGGTGAGTGGGTGAGTGGGTGGGTGAATAGGTGAATGGGTGAGTGAGTGGGTGAGTGAGTGGGTGAATGGGTGAGTGAGTGAGTGGGTGAATGAGTGAGTGGGTGAGTGTGTGAGTGAGTGGGTGTGTGAGTGAGTGGGTGGGTGAGTGGGTGGGTGAGTGAGTGGGTGAGTGAGTGAGTGGATGGTTGGGTGGGTGGTTGGGTGGGTGAGAGGGTGGGTGAGAGGGTGGGTGAGAGGGTGGGTGAGAGGGTATAGAGAGAGAGGGAGACACAGAGACAGAGAGAGATGGAGGCACAGAGACACACAGAGACACAGAGACACAGACACACACAGAGACACAGACACACAAAGACACACAGAGACACAGAGACACGGAGACACAGACAAAGAGACAGAGAGAGATGGAGACAGACACACTGAGACAGACACAGAGACACACAGAGACACAGACACACACACAGAGACACACAGAGACACACAGAGACACACAGACACACAGAGACACACAGAGACACACATACACAGACACACACAGACACACAGAGACACACAGACACACACTCAGACACAGAGACACACAGACACACACACAGACACACACACACAGACACATACACAGACACACACAGACACACACACACACAGACACACACACACAGACACACACACACAGACACACACACACAGACACACACTCACACACAGACACACACTCACAGACACACATACACACACAGACACACACAGACACACACACACACAGACACATCCAGACACACACACACAGACACACACTCACAGACACACACAGACACACAGACACACACAGACACACACACACAGACACAGACACACAGACACACACACAGACACACACACACACAGACAGACACACACCTATCAACAACCCATCATCAGTGCCCTTCCTCATTACAGACCGATTCAGACGGTGTTGGTCTCTCTGTGACCCCTTCATAAATCCCACAAAGTCACCCCACAAAGTCACTCCCACAAAGTCACCCCACAAAGTCACCCCACAAAGTCACTCCTACAAAGTCACCCCCACAAAGTCACCCCCACAAAGTCACCCCACAAAGTCACCCCCACAAGATAAGAATCCTTAAAGTCACCCCACAAAGTCACCCCCACAAAGTCACCCCACAAAGTCACCCCCACAAAGTCACCCCCACAAAGTCACCCCCACAAAGTCACCCCCACAAAGTCACCCCACAAAGTCACCCCACAAAGTCACCCCCACAAAGTCACCCCACAAAGTCACCCCACAAAGTCACCCCCACAAAGTCACCCCCACAAAGTCACCCCACAAAGTCACCCCCACAAGAAAAGAATCCTTAAAGTCACCCCACAAAGTCACCCCCACAAAGTCACCCCACAAAGTCACCCCCACAAGATAAGAATCCTTAAAGTCACCCCACAAAGTCACCCCACACAGTCACCCCCACAAGATAAGAATCCTTAAAGTCACCCCCACAAAAGTCACCCCACAAAGTCACCCCACAAAGGCACCCCCACAAGATAAGAATCCTTAAAGTCACCCCACAAAGTCACCCCCACAAAGTCACCCCCACAAGATAAGAATCCTTAAAGTCACCCCACAAAGTCACCCCCACAAAGTCACCCCCACAAGATAAGAATCCTTAAAGTCACCCCACAAAGTCACCCCCACAAAGTCACCCCACAAAGTCACCCCCACAAGATAAGAATCCTTAAAGTCACCCCACAAAGTCACCCCACAAAGTCACCCCCACAAAGTCACCCCACAAAGTCACCCCCACAAAGTCACCCCCACAAAGTCACCCCACAAAGTCACCCCACAAAATCACCCCCACAAAGTCACCCCACAAAGTCACCCCCACAAAATCACCCCACAAAGTCACCCCCACAAGATAAGAATCCTTAAAGTCACCCCACAAAGTCACCCCACAAAGTCACCCCACAAAATCACCCCACAAAGTCACCCCCACAATGTCACCCCACAAAGTCACCCCACAAAGTCACCCCACAAAGTCACCCCCACAAGATAAGAATCCTTAAAGTCACCCCACAAAGTCACCCCCACAAAGTCACCCCACAAGATAAGAATCCTTAAAGTCACCCCACAAAGTCACCCCCACAAAGTCACCCCCACAAAGTCACCCCCACAAGATAAGAATCCACAAATTGTTCGCATTGGGACGGCTTGTCACGCCGTGTGGTCCTGGACACTCATGAAATGGCCATAAATGACGTCACGCACCTGGGGGTGTGTGGGGGTCAGACATGCGTGACGATGAGTGACGTGGGTGGGGGGGGGGGTTTGAGAGACGTGACGTCACATCAAAATTCCCAGCTCTCAATGACAATCTAGGATTGTTCTAGCAACACTCCTACGGCCTCGTCGGCGCCACGTCAAGCACGTGCTACAGCATCGACGATGGTTTCAAGCTGATGCGAAGCCCGCTTGATATTCTATGTGGAAATATGTCGGGGTGGGGTGGGGGTGGGGCAGAGCTTTGTGACGTCATATTTGAGGTGGTGGGGGGTGGGGGAGGTCTGACTCTTTGTGACGTCATTTGAGGTGGGGGGGTGGGAGGTCTGACTCTTTGTGACGTCATATTTGAGGGGGGGTGGGAGGTCTGACTTTGTGATGTCATATTTGAGGTGGGGGTGGGAAGTCTGACTCTTTGTGACGTCATACTTGAGGTGGGGGGGTGGGATGTCTGACTCTTTGTGACGCCATATTTGAGGGGGTGGGAGGTTTGACTCTTTGTGACGTCATATTTGAGGTGGGGTGGGAAGTCTGACTCTTTGTGACGTCATACTTGAGGTGGGGGGGTGGGAGGTTTGACTCTTTGTGACGTCATACTTGAGGTGGGGGGGTGGGATGTCTGCCTCTTTGTGACGCCATATTTGAGGTGGGGTGGGAGGTTTGACTCTTTGTGACGTCATACTTGAGGTGGGGGGGTGGGAGGTCTGACTCTTTGTGACGTCATATTTGAGGTGGTGGGGGGTGGGGGAGGTTTGACTCTTTGTGACGTCATATTTGAGGGGGGGTGGGGAGGTTTGACTCTTTGTGACGTCATATTTGAGGGGGGGTGGGAGGTCTGACTTTGTGATGTCATATTTGAGGTGGGGGTGGGAAGTCTGACTCTTTGTGACGTCATACTTGTGGGGGGGTGGGATGTCTGACTCTTTGTGACGCCATATTTGAGGTGGGGTGGGAGGTTTGACTCTTTGTGACGCCATATTTGAGGTGGGGTGGGAGGTTTGACTCTTTGTGACGCCATATTTGAGGGGGTGGGAGGTTTGACTCTTTGTGACGTCATATTTGAGGTGGGGTGGGAAGTCTGACTCTTTGTGACGTCATACTTGAGGTGGGGGGGTGGGATGTCAGCCTCTTTGTGACGCCATATTTGAGGTGGGGTGGGAGGTTTGACTCTTTGTGACGCCATATTTGAGGGGGTGGGAGGTTTGACTCTTTGTGACGTCATATTTGAGGTGGGGTGGGAAGTCTGACTCTTTGTGACGTCATACTTGAGGTGGGGGGGTGGGATGTCAGCCTCTTTGTGACGCCATATTTGAGGTGGGGTGGGAGGTTTGACTCTGTGACGTAATACTTGAGGTGGGGGGGTGGGAGGTCTGACTCTGTGACGTCATATTTGAGGTGGTGGGGGGTGGGAGGTCTGACTCTTTGTGACGTCATATTTGAGGTGGTGGGGGGTGGGAGGTTTGACTCTTTGTGACGCCATATTTGAGGTGGGGTGGGAGGTTTGACTGTTTGTGACGTCATATTTGAGGTGGGGTGGGAAGTCTGACTCTTTGTGACGTCATACTTGAGGTGGGGGGGTGGGAGGTCTGCCTCTTTGTGACGCCATATTTGAGGTGGGGTGGGAGGTTTGACTCTGTGACGTAATACTTGAGGTGGGGGGGTGGGAGGTCTGACTCTGTGACGTCATATTTGAGGTGGTGGGGGGTGGGAGGTCTGACTCTTTGTGACGTCATATTTGAGGTGGTGGGGGGTGGGAGGTTTGACTCTTTGTGACGCCATATTTGAGGTGGGGTGGGAGGTTTGACTGTTTGTGACGTCATATTTGAGGTGGGGTGGGAAGTCTGACTCTTTGTGACGTCATACTTGAGGTGGGGGGGTGGGAGGTCTGCCTCTTTGTGACGCCATATTTGAGGTGGGGTGGGAGGTTTGACTCTTTGTGACGCCATATTTGAGGTGGGGGGGGTGGGAGGTCTGACTCTATGTGACGTCATATTTGAGGTGGGGGTGGGGGGTGGGAGGTCTGACTCTTTGTGACGTCATATTTGAAGTGGGGAGGTCTGACTCTTTGTGACGCCACGTGACGAGGAGGAGGTGACGTCATTTACGGACGACGTTTCGATCGCGACACCCGCGGGCGTTGCCATGGGAACGTCGTGAACGACGTTAAACTCTTAAGCTTAAACTCGTTAAACTCTTAAGCTTTGGCGGCCGCAGGAATAAGTACCCGGTTGAGTCTGTCGGTAAAGTCACGTGGTGGGTAGATAAATAATGAATTAAATAATAGCGCGCGGCGTTTCGATTGCAACACGAGTAAATCATCATCATTATCATTTTATTTTATTTTTCTACCCACGTGACTTTACCGAAATGATTCAAAGTGTGTGGATTCCTGCAGTCACGAAAGCTCTAAAAATCAAGATTTAAAAGGTTAAGTAATTTTTTTTTTTTAAAGAATAAGCTAAGCGCGAGACGCTGCATCGTTTTTATTGTTTGCATCACGTGATTGTTAATATTGGCCGGTTTGTGTTTTTCCTGGTAGCTCATTGGCTGTTCAAGTCGGGATTATGACGTAACCCTGGTGGCCATCTTCCGTAGGGGGGGTGGTGGCATCTGCGGCCATCTTGCGTCGGGGGGGGGGGGGGAGATTTTCTTGCAGCTGATTGGCTGCTGAAGTCGCGGTTATGACGTTACCACGGCGGCCATTGTTACATGGGGCGGGGGGTGGTGGCATCTGCGGCCATCTTGCGTGGGGGTTTTGTTTTTTCCTGGCAGCTGTTTGGCTGCTCAAGTCGGGGTTATGACGGTGCCACGGCGGCCATCTTGCGTGGGGGGCTTTCTTGGCAGCTGATTGGCTGCTTAAGTCGGGGTTATGACCTCACGGCGGCCATGTTGCATGGGGGGGGAGTTGGCCGCCTGCGGCCATCTTGCGTGGGGGTTATTTTTTTTCCTGGCAGCTGATTGGATGGTGCAGTCTGAGTGATGACGTACGCGTGACGGTTCAATAATTGGGCAGCCTCCTCTCACCCCTCACCCCTCCCCTCACCCCCCTCTGCCATTCCACCCCCACCCCCCACTCAATCGACCGCCACCGCGTGGCAAGACGCTGCCACTGCGGTTTCAGGAACTCCGTGGTGGTGGTGGTAGAGGTGGTGGTGGTAGAGGTGGTGGTGGTGGTAGTGGTGGTGGTGGTAGAGGTGGTGGTGGTGGTGGTGGTAGTGGTGGTGGTGGTAGAGGTAGTGGTGGTAGAGGTGGTGGTGGTGGTAGAGGTGGTGGTAGAGGTGGTGGTAGAGGTGGTGGTGGTTGTAGAGGTGGTGGTGGTGATGGTTGTAGTGGTGGTGGTGGTAGAGGTTGTGGTGGTGGTAGAGGTGGTTGTGATGGTGGTGGTAGAGGTGGTGGTAGTGGTGGTGGTGGTAGAGGTGGTGGTAGAGGTGGTGGTGGTGGTAGAGGTGGTGGTAGTGGTGGTGGTGGTAGAGGTGGTGGTGGTAGAGGTGGTGGTAGAGGTGGTGGTGGTGGTTGAGGTGGTGGTGGTAGAGGTTGTGGTGATGGTTGTAGTGGTGGTGGTGGTAGAGGTTGTGGTGGTGGTAGAGGTGGTGGTGGTGGTGGTGGTTGTGGTGGTGGTGATGGTTGTAGTGGTGGTGGTGGTGGTAGAGGTTGTGGTGGTGGTAGAGGTGGTGGTAGAGGTGGTGGTGGTGGTTGTGGTGGTGGTGGTAGAGGTGGTGGTGGTAGAGGTGGTGGTAGAGGTGGTGGTGGTGGTTGTGGTGGTGGTGGTAGAGGTGGTGGTGGTGGTTGTGGTGGTGGTGGTAGAGGTGGTGGTGGTTGTTGTTGTAGTGGTGGTGGTTGTGGTGGTAGAGGTTGTGGTGGTGGTTGTAGAGGTGGTTGTGGTGGTTGTAGTGGTGGTGGTTGTAGAGGTGGTGGTTGTAGAGGTGGTGGTTGTAGTGGTGGTGGTTGTAGAGGTGGTGGTTGTAGTGGTAGTGGTTGTAGAGGTGGTGGTTGTAGAGGTGGTGGTTGTAGTGGTGGTGGTTGTAGTAGTGGTGGTTGTAGAGGTGGTGGTTGTAGAGGTGGTGGTTGTAGTGGTAGTGGTTGTAGAGGTGGTGGTTGTAGTGGTGGTGGTTGTAGTGGTGGTGGTTGTAGAGGTGGTGGTTGTAGTGGTGGTGGTTGTAGTGGTGGTGGTTGTAGAGGTGGTGGTTGTAGAGGTGGTGGTTGTAGTGGTGGTGGTTGTAGTGGTGGTGGTTGTAGAGGTGGTGGTTGTAGAGGTGGTGGTTGTAGTGGTGGTGGTTGTAGAGGTGGTGGTTGTAGTGGTGGTGGTTGTAGTGGTGGTGGTTGTAGAGGTGGTGGTTGTAGTGGTGGTGGTTGTAGTGGTGGTGGTTGTAGAGGTGGTGGTTGTAGAGGTGGTGGTTGTAGTGGTGGTGGTTGTAGTGGTGGTGGTTGTAGAGGTGGTGGTTGTAGAGGTGGTGGTTGTAGTGGTGGTGGTTGTAGAGGTGGTGGTTGTAGAGGTTGTGGTGGTTGTGGTGGTTGTGGTGGTTGTAGTGGTTGTGGTGGTTGTAGAGGTTGTGGTGGTGGTGGTGGTAGAGTTTGTGGTGGTTGTGGTGGTTGTAGAGGTTGTGGTGGTTGTAGAGGTTGTGGTGGTTGTGGTGGTTGTGGTGGTTGTGGTGGTAGAGGTTGTGGTGGTTGTGGTGGTTGTAGAGGTTGTGGTGGTGGTGGTGGTTGTGGTGGTTGTGGTGGTTGTAGAGGTTGTGGGGGTTGTGGTGGTTGTGGTTGTGGAGGTTGTGGTTGTGGTGGTTTTAGAGGTTGTGGTGGTTGTGGTGGTCTCTGGGTTGTGCGCTTTTTGGGTATTATTTATTTATTTATTGGGTTCGCTTCGGCTGTGTCCGCTGTGTGAGCTT